CTCAAGTGTGAAAGCCCTAGGACAGAGCCTAGGGAGTCCCCATATTCGTGTTTGAGTCCTGGGCCCACCCTGGTTTTCTGGAGTCCCTGTATGTGGAGTCCCTTCTGTGTCCAGTCTCACCTCAGACCAGCACTGGCCGTGGTTGGTAGCAGGGGGCCCCTGCCCTTCTTTGAAGAACATGGAGAAATGGAATCCATCCAATAGCTCCTGCTTGATCTGCTGTGTGGAGCTCTGCAAAGAAAGTGCCCGAGAGCCAGGCGAAGAGGTGTCAGTGGCCTGCCTGGCTGACCCCATAGTGGGACACTCCCATTAGAACTCCTCCCTGGCGCCCCCTTCCCCAACAGGATTTGGCACACAGGAGCATCTGCGTAGACCTCCAGCCAGAGGAGCTTGAGGTCTCCGGCAGATGACAGCTTGAGGTCTTGGAATTCAGATCTGAGCAGACAAACTATGTCCTCGACACTCACCTTCCCATCCTGAAGGCATGGCCTGGGCTGTGAAGGTGACATTCTGACCAGGCTCCCAACCCCCAACAACCTACCTGCTCCTGTCCAGGGAGGGCCCCTCTTCTCCTGTTTCCCCCAAACACATGGGGAGGGGCTCAGCACTGCCCAATGGGCACAGCTGAGGCCTGGCCTCGACGGGCCTGCCCTGGGCCCTGTGTTACCTGTGGCTGCCTTCTGGCAAAGGGCCAGAGGCGTCGAGGGTGAGGGTTGTACCAATGTCTGTATTCTCGAGAAACAGTCTCATTTTGGCCTCTTCTGCGAGGAGGAGGTCGGCAGCATGTGGGGACACAGCAGGAGAACATGGTGTTCTCTCGAGTGTCGACTCCCAACTGAGCTGGAAATGGGGCTGTGTGTATAATATGGGTGCCTAGTTACCAGAATTCTAAGTTCTGTTGGGGTCTGTCAGTAAGGAAGTGAGGTCACATCTTGTAGGTTCCATCCTGTAAGCACCTCCTTTCCATAAGACCTACTCAAAGGCCCCACTGGACTTCTGGCCGCTCACCCTCCCCCATCAACTACTTACCTTTCACCATTATGCCAAAGTGTGCCCCTTCAGCACCTTGGGAAGACCTGGATGTAACCAGGGTCCCAGGTTTGAGGAGACAGTTCTGGGTCAAACAACCTTTATCTTAGCAGTTGTGAGACCCTAGAGAACTCCTTTGGTATTTTGGGGCCTCCCCAGCATGCACAATGGGGGTTATGCTAGCATCTCCCTCCTAGGGAACTCTTGAGGTGTGTTTGAGATAGATCTTATAAAACTCATGATGTGGTGTTTCCTGTAGATATTGCACACACTTACAGATGGAGGAAATTCGAAAAGGAGTGAGAAGTAGCATGGAAGAGAACTCCAGTGGGCTTGGGGTCCACAGTGTGGTCTCAGGGGAAGACACTTTTGCTCTGGGCCTCCTCTTTCATGCTGCACCAGTTGAGGTTGAGATTAAATGAAATTCAGACATCCTCCTCCTCTGACATTGCACCTTCCAGTGCCTTCCCATTTTATTTAGACCCAGACCCTGTGTCTCATCTCAGCCTAGGGTGGGCAGCATCCACAGAGACAGCACTGAGGGGTTAGTGACTCCCTTCTGAATGATGGAGTATGACACAGGTGATGGAATCGCACTTCTGGGCTAGTTCAGGATGTTACAACAAAGAGCCGTAGCCTGGGGAGCTGATCAAAAACAGAATTATGTTTCTCCCAGTTCTGGAGGCTGGAAGTTGGATATCAGGGTACCAGCCTGGTCAGGCTTTAGTGAAGTCTCCCGTCCCATTCACTGAGCTTTTACAGTGCTGTCCTTTCCTTGGAGGACGGCTCAACTTTAGGAGCATGGGTAGACCTCCATTCAAAGCCCAGCTCCCACTTGTAGCTTGGTGATCTTTGATGGGGTGGAAGACAGGCATCTTCTTCCTCAAGACAACAGAGATATTGCTTATGGCTGAGGGGTCCTGGAGGTGATCCGGGTACAGCGACATATTTGAATGTAGGAAATTCTCTCCCGTTGAGACCTGTAGAGACTAAAAGAGCCTTAGGAACTTTCACTGTTACTGCTGGAGTCTTGGGGTGCAGATCTCTTGAGCACCTGCACCATGACCTGGCCCCACTGCTTTTTGTCCTCTTCCCTCCCTGCCCGGGTGAGGTCCGTCCTGCTCTGGGGAGAAGTTTCTATGTGGTCCTCAGCCCACCTCTGCTCCACTCCCTTCCTCACAGGGCTCATTGTTGTCTCTGTCTCCACCCTCCTGGGTCTATGATCCAAATGGGGCTGACAGCTTCATGACTTCACTGACCAAGTCTTCACTGACCTCCTTCACCGACCAAGTCTCCAGGAATGACAATGACAATCACCTGCCCTGGAAACAGCCGTCATACTGTCAATCAAGGCACAGCTTGGATTCAGGAGCACCTGGGACACGTCCCCAAACCTCAGACCCAGAGGGGTAACAACTATCCCTCAGGGACCTCAGGGAAGTTCCCCAGCCCCATCTGAGGCAATTTGGCCTCCCTGGCCATCTCTGGGCTCCAGGCTGGGAGGTGATTTTCACTATTTAGCACAGGCTGATTTTCACTATTCAGCACAGGATGGCAGCCTTGCTGATTGTTCTCTGATTATCTGGATGCTCTGTGACTCCTTCCGTGCATCTCTGGGATCATCATTCAGACTCGCCTGCACACTGAGCAGTAACACCAATGTTGTTTGCTACGACATTTACTGGAAACACGACAAGACAGGCAGCCTTGCCTCCCTGGTCTCTACCAAGATTCTATTGAGATTGAAGCAGAACCAGGGCTCAGGGTCCCCAGCCTCTTCTCTGTGTGAGTGGATGCCGCCGCCAGTGCTGAGGCTTTGCGCACCGTTGGGCTCAAGCTTGAGGTTGAGGCTACTAATGGCACAGTAGTGCCTCTCACAGTGTCATGGATGAGACGTTCTTTCTAAAATAGAAGTCCTTTTTTTTTGTTTGTTTGGCCCGTTTGATAAGTAGATTCTATAATTAATCAGAAATTTCTTTTATGGCGGGTAGAGACGCTGGTGAAAGAGAAACGGGGAAGGACTTGGCACGGGGGGTGGGTGGGCTTCAGACCCGGCTCTGACCCCCATGAAAGGAGAGAGGGAAGAGGGATCACTAGGAACTGCCCCAGTCCACAGGCAGGTCAGATGTCAGATAAAGCCTCAGCCGATGGAGTGTGTTCTTTCCCAGGGGTGCTCACTAGAAGTGCCCTGCTTCCTGCAGGAAGACCTGGCTGGAGGGACCCCTGGGCTCCTCACTGCCTGGAGCCAGCCCAGGGGCAGGGGACATGTTAGTCACCTGTGGTCCTCCTGCAGGTTCTCCTGAAGAGGCATCTGAGTGGGATGCTTCCACGGCCACCAGCAGCACTGCTGCTGCACCTCCCTCTGGACACGGGCAGTGCCCTCCTCCCCTGGCCTGCGCATCCACCTGAGCTCCGTGTGAAGTCAAAGCTCAGGCATCTCAGAGCTTTCCCCCCGCAGGCCCTGCAGCCACTGAGACCCTTATATGCCCTGAGCTGCATGCTAGGGAGAGAGGGGTCTGTGGGAGACCTTGGCCCTTAGCCGTCGACGACTCTGGGGAACACCATGAAATCCTCAGACTGGGGATGTTCTCTGGAGCCGTCTTTATCCTCCTCTTCTGCCCTGCATCTCCTACTCCATGACCTGGGTCCTGTCCCTAAACCCCTGTTACATCCCCAGTGTCTGATCCATGCCAGCCCTTCTTTAAATATGTGTTGAACCCATTTCCCATTTGCCCAAGAAATGAGTGCTGGCAACTAGCTGCACTTTTTTTTTTTTCTAAATGGGAAATGGGTCAATAAATGAATGAGTGAATGAATGAATAACAACGCAACCTGAGTCTCCTGTCACATGGTTATTTTAAGACCTGCATTTGTATTTATAAAGGAGGAAAATGAGTCCCTGCAGCTGTGATTGCCTCTGAATTCAGTTAACTTGTTTCCACACTGTCATGCCATGGTCACAGTGGGACAAACGTACACCAAGCTCACCACAGCCTTTCAGCCCTGCCTTTCCGCCTGCACCGCCTGTGGCCGTCATGGCATCAGGGCTTCTCTCATGGTGGGCCTCTACCCACCACACACTCTGGGCCATCTCCTCCTCTCCGACAGCCTGGGGTTCAGTGATCCCTGTCCCTGTGTCCCACCTCAGAGCACCTGCCACTCCACCCTTTCCCTAATTTCTCTGCCACTGTTTCTCCAGCCTCCCAGGAATGTCTTCTGCCCAATCTCCTGTCCCAGGTTCTAGAACTTGTCCTGGAACTTCCCCAGAGCTGAGTCTCTAATAGGAGAGCTGATGACAGGTACAGCCGCGGTCAAGCCTCTAGCCAGCAGATGGAGGAGAATCAGCCCGAGGGCCCCGCAGTATCCTCCCTGCTGCACACCTGGGCCCATATCCCCCTCCACACCTGCAGCCCCCACCTCGGAGTCTGCCTCAGCGTCTCCTCCCAGCACCTTCCTCAGGAAGGGCCTGAGATCTTGCATGGCGTGTTTCCCCTCGGTGAACTCCTAGTCACAGCAGCATCTTGAGCAAGAGCCTCCTGGTGAAGCGATCCTCTTGGTGCTCCGCCCTGGCATTGTGTCCTCAGCTCCAGGGCAGGTCACACACTTTCCTGGACCAAAATCACATGCAGGCCACCCCTGCTGGCCCCCTGCCCCACAGAGGGAGGCCCAGGGTCAGGGATGGCACCAGGACCACAGCTTCGTTGTTTCCTGAAGGAATTCTTTCGGCATGTTTGAAAGACAAGAGTTAAGGAAACAAAGCAGAGGAAAGATTCTGATCATTGCAAAAGGAGAAGTTTGCCTGTGGACCAGCAGGGGGCGCGGTGAGACCTTCTCTGTGTGTTTCTGCAGGACAGGTGCTCACAGCTGATAAGCCCTCAACTGACAGAAGCCCAGGGCTGCTCCTTCACTTCCTCCTGGGACTCTGCAGCCTTGTCCCATCTGTGCCTGGCAGAGTCGTCTACACACGACCTGTGTGTGGTCCCAGCAGCTGCTGCTTTCTCTGGTCCTACCCGTGGGGCAAACTCTTGCCTCATGCCAGCCTCCCTGTCCAAGGGCCTGGTCCCTGTGAGTGCACCTGGGGGCAGGCAATGGGGGACTCATTTGCATGGTCAGTCCCTCCCCTGTGAGCCCAGTGACACTGTGATAAGAGCGGCCTGGGGCAGCCCAACCCTGGGTCTGTGGCCTCAGAGGTAGCTGTGTCCACCATGGCCCTGACTCCTCTCCTCCTCCTGCTCCTCTCTCACTGCACAGGTAGGGACAGGGCTTAGAGCTGAGGGTGGCTCCCAGCCTAATCTGTCCCCCATGGCTCAGATCCCTCAGCAGCTGTGCCCTGACCCTGCTTCTCACCGTTCTGTGTCTGTGTCTGCAGGTTCCCTCTCCCAGCCTGTGCTGACTCAGCCACCCTCCCTGTCTGCATCCCCGGGAGCAATGGCCAGACTCCCCTGCACCCTGAGCAGTGACCTCAGTGTTGGTAGCAAAAACATGTACTGGTACCAGCAGAAGCCAGGGAGCGCTCCCAGGTTATTCCTGTACTACTACTCCGACTCAGACAAGCAGCTGGGACCTGGGGTCCCCAATCGAGTCTCTGGCTCCAAGGAGACCTCAAGTAACACAGCGTTTTTGCTCATCTCTGGGCTCCAGCCTGAGGACGAGGCCGATTATTACTGTCAGGTGTATGACAGTAGTGCTGATCACAGTGAGAGAGACAGATGAGGAAGTGGGACAAAAACCAAGGTTTTAAGCTTCTCATGTTTACTGAACTGGTTAAGAACTTGGGTGGTTAATAAAATCACATTAATACTGGATTGTTGTTAAAAATGGTGCCACATTATAACTGTGTCCCATTTTTCACATAATACCCATAGTGACTCAGCTAAAATCAAAACACAAAAACTTATACCAGTACTAAGAAATACTAACATTACTAACCAATTTCCACTAGCAAAAGAGTTGTGAAACAGGTGAAATACATCCAGATGGCATAATACATAATGCCACTATATATGAGAGTTTTATAAAATTATGTATCATGTATATGTATAATATATGAAATAAAATGTCAGCAGACATTAGCATCTCCCACCAGTAGCCAGCAATCCTGCCCCGCCTCTAGAATAAATGGTTACCATGGATTGAATACGCGAACAGCCCTGGCAGCTCTGCAGGCTGACTCTCACTGTTTGTTATTGTTTTATTTGTTTTTCAGATTTTTTTTTTCCCATTTTTTTTTGAGATGGGAAGATAAAATCGAAACTAGTAACCACAACAGGCGGGAGATGCACTGGTGTAGAATCTTGACTCGGCTGCAAACCTCCAGATCTCCCTGGTTCGAGCAATTCTTCCTGCGTTCAGACCTACCCTGAGAAAGCTGTGAAAATTACAGAAAGACAACAACAAGAAACCATGCAAAAGAAAAAAAAAAAACAAAACGAAGCAAAAGTTTTTATTGGGATTTTTTAGAGTGAGATGAGGGTTTTCACCTTGTATTGGTCAGCCTGAGTCTCCACATTCCTGACTTCGTGATGGCGACCATCCTCAGCCTCCCAAAAGGCTGGGATTACAAGCATAATAGAGCAAACCGCAAAACAGAGCAATTCCTATAATAGCTTTTCCGTGAGAATAGTAAATGCCATAATCATATCAATATTTAAATAGTTCTCAGAACACTAAAGAGTTACTGGTGCACACAATTGATAGATTTCATGACAGTTATTGCGGTAGATTTTGCTGCAATCTATAATTTTCACTGTATAAGTGAGAACTGTACTTAATTTGAAAAGATAAAATTTCTCAACAAAATGTAAAATCTCTATCAATTCATAGGATAAGATCTACTTAATCATACAAAAGTGTATTTTTACACAACACTAAAAAAAATGGATGAATACATTAACATCTATGACATAACCCTTAATTTTGACCAAGCAGACATTTCAGCATAAAATTGAAGAAGATAGATTTATATATAAAAATGTATATAAATTGACAGAGTTTGAAATGTAGATGGTATAAATAGTATGATGAAATTTGAATATTTACAAAATTAATCTTAGAAACTAATAAATAATATGAATAGAGAACTCAATTAGTTATACAAATGATTGGCTCCGTTACATTTTGATAAAAATAGATTTGTTGTTTTTAGAGAAATCATTAATTTGTTAGAAATGGATCAATCCCTCTCTCTCCGCAGGAGAATACTTAAACGAGGGATGTGGGATCAGTACCCACCAATCCCTGATTAAAGATATCTTCTTCTATCTTTAAGGGATAGTACCAAATACAAATAACTTGAAATAGAAGTAATAGAAAAAGAATTACTAAATGCCAAGTATATTATGTGTATCGAACTAGATGATTTAGAGATAGACAATGTCGAGTGACCCCAATCAATGTGTATGTGTTATTGAGTTTGTGTGATGTGGTGTTAATAAAAAGTAAATCCAATGGTATAAGACTCTGTTGACAGGATCAACCTAACTGACAATAGGAATGTTATTTAAATTCACCTAAGAATTAAAAAGTGATGGCATAAATGGCAACTGGAGCCAACCCTCTGCAGTTACATTCATACAGAAGAGTACTGTCTTAATGCTCCTTTTAAATTCTTTTAAAGGGCCAAACATAGATCATCCTTTATTATGTATAAATTTGCAAGGATTGTGTGGTGTTTTGGAGTATTATTGTTTCCCAACCTAAAATCTATACAATTACTGCCACTTTGACACTTTTTATTTTACATTGTAGTTCATATATTAATTAAGTAATGAGTGTGCAGTTTGTACTTTTGTTAACTTTTGGAAGTTTTGTACAACATTTGTATTTGTAATAACAGGGAGCACGCTTCCCAGCTGTATTGAATGAGTAAATAAAAGGTAAAAATCATAGCATTTACAAAAAGTCTGTGTGGCTGATGGAATTAGGACCATCCCCTCCAAATGGAAAGTGATGTGTTTCTTTAAAGTCAGGTAGAGGCAGTTTTCATGCCCTATTGAGGGTTTTCATTGCCCCTGTTGAGCGTTTTTCAAAACATGTCTTAAATTTAACATTTAAATCATATCAGAGTCTTAGAATGTGAGAATAGATAACACTGGTTTAATTTTGTGGATAACATTAAATCTACCTGGAAGGATATTTTCTCTTTTGAAAAGATTCTTCAGCCTCAGGATCGTTAGAACCCGTACTTGCGTTTCATTCAATGAGGAAATACATTGAAATGCCATGCTAATATCCTCAGTTGGGTTGGTTTCTCCCTTCCCTAACAGCCTATGAAGTGTGTCGATGCAGTTACTCCACAGTGGGAGTGGCTTATAGGTACTTACTGAAAGGCATGCTGACTGAGCATTCCTTTTTAATAATTGCTATTCAAAATCACATTTTGGCCGTTGAACAGGTTGCCACTCATTATGCTCTGCCTAGGCAGGAATGGGTCCTGGTAGACACAATGAGCATCTTGTTTTGTTTCTCTCTCTCTCTCTGCTCTCTACACATACACACACACCACACACACCACCACACACACACACACACACCCTCTCTTCTCTCTGGGTACACATTATTTTGGACATCCTTCACGTTTCCCAGGATTCTCTGAATCTCCAGGGCTAGAAGTCAGGGGGCTTAGCCTGTGGTTGATCCAGCCATCCTCAGGGTTGAATTCCCACGGAGGTCACAGGGAACCACCAGTGGCGGAAGTGAGATCAGGGTCGATGTATGAGAGTAGGCAGTAGGAT